AATTTTTTTTTTTTTTTTTTTTTAAATAGTGATATATTAATAGTGGACGCCCTAAACCACATATTTTGGTTGACTTCAACCTTCATATTTTGGGTACGCCGGTGACTTTATCATCTTTCACGTGCATGAAATGGAACAGGAATGCAGTAAAAAAAATGGTAAAACCAACCAATATATTACACAAGAAATCAGGCAGCGCAAATCTCGATTTGTCGACAGACGACCACTCTTCAAGTCTTCGTTCTTATTTTGGTACAAACTGAGCTTTTTCTCTATGATTTTAATGTGAATTAAATAATACAGTACTACCCCTTTCCCCACATTCCCAACCAAATAAAGAAGAAAAATACTAGCAAACTGAATACCAAAGGTTAGCTTTGCTTTAGTTGCATACTCCAGGTTTCTACCGAATCAAAGTAAGTTACTGTATATTAATTATTGCAGTATCTTTTTTCTTTTGTTGATAAAGAGAAAATTAACTAGTTAATTCTTCAATGTAATACAAATTACTATGTCTGTACGTTTTTGTTGATTATAGATATAGATTTAGTTGAAAATACTTGTCCCCTTTAGTTGGAAAAGCATGCTTTCAACCATAGCAAATGTCAATTGAATCCTAGCCTTTATAAAGAAAATAATCGATTAGGCATTGATTATAGCTCAATATACATATTCAAAGTCTCTCGAGCCGAGGGTCTTTCGGAAACATCCTCTTTGCCCTTCAGGATAGGGGTAAGGGGTGCGTACCCATTATCTCCGACTGGGTTGTTGTTGTTGTTGTTAGAGGCGGAGCTAGGATTTGAAGTTTATGGGTTCAGGGTTCTAATCCTTTTAAGTTACTGACTTCTAAATTAATAATTCATACATATTTAATAGATTTTTAAGACAAATACATGGATTGAACCAAACGACTGGGTTTGGGCGAACCAGAAAAATCCAGCATTACATCAAGATCATTAGAAAATTCAGTATTACACCAAATTTTTAAACTTTGGATGCATCTGTTCTCTAATTCTCAATCGTTTAAATTCATTCTAAACTTAAAATTCCAATCATTACCATCCCAAAAATGTGCTATGACACAATATTTTTTTTAAGACTATGCTATATAGATCAGGAAAAACATCCCTCAAAGCTTGTTCGCCATGCCAATCTATCTTGTCATAGTTTTATTCTTTGCCCATAAGTTTTTAATAAACTTCCATTGTGCAGAACCATGTGGGACTGAAATCGGAATTATGTTCCCATAGTTCTTGAGCCCATATTAAAGCTTGATAACCTCCTTCCATTGATCCTTCTTAGGATCATTCAAATCTCCAATGCCATTTGAATAACAAACTTCTATTATGAACCCCAAACTCCTTACAACCAAGCCTCCTCCTTCCTTACTCAACATAACTTTCTACCATTTCACCAAATGAATTTTCTTAGTTTCTTGATTACCTTCCCACAGAAAATTGCGCCTGATTCTGTTTAGATGCTCTTCCACCCTGGCTGGAGTAGGTATCGTTGAAATTAAATATATCGACATTCCATCAAGTACATTATTCACCAATGTCAACCTTCCAACAAAGGAGAGGTATTGTCTCTTCCATGTACTCAGTTTTTTCTCGCGCTTTTCAATTATTCCTTTCCAGATGTTGATGTCATTATATTTTTCACCAAGTGGTAGTCCCAGATAGGTGGCGGGGAGAGTCTCCAGCTTACATCCCAGTGTATCAGCAAGAGTTTGAACGTTATGATCAGCAGTAATTGAGAACAGACTGCCTTTCCTCATATTTATATGAAGGCCTGAAATAAATTCAAATGCAATTAGTAGTCATCTAATCGTCTCACTTTATTCGCCGACTCCATCACTAAATTTGGACCCAATAGCTTGATCTCACCAGCCTCAAAGAAACGTACAAAGCCTCAAAGGGCACCATCTGTATGCTAACTTGGTAGTCATTATTGTAGGTGAAATTTATCAAGAGCAAGTATCCACTCCAATCGTCCCCAAGGTTGATGACATATGCTTCTTACTTATCTTCTAGGATCTCTATGGTTCGATCAAACTGTCCATCTACTAAAAGCTAAAAGTCGTACTTAGATGAATCGTGCAGCCAAGGCGTCCTAGGATGTCCACCACTAGTGAGACATGAACTGCAGGCCTATGTGAGGTATTGAAACCCCATGATAACCCTATTCCCCTTCCATTTGGTATCTCAATGTGCTGGTGTAACACTGCTGGCTTTTGGTGCTCAACTTTGATTTGTTGACGAGGCATATACACAGACACAAATTTTGCTATATATTTCTTCATTCCTTTCCAGCATTATATTTGTTATAGATCTTAGAACATTTCGGTACAACATGGATGTAATGTACACTTAGAGTAGTGTGCCTTTGCTGATACAATCCTCCTCAACTCATCTGTAATAGGTCACATAAATAATTCTTGAGTCACACAGTACCCTCATTGTCTAGTGTAAAGTCCTTGCCTTTACCTGGTTAACGTCTTCCTTGACTTTGCTTAGCTAAGAAACACTATGCTGGCTAGCCTCATTATATGTGATAGCGACGTATATGTGATAGCGACGTTCCTACTTTCCAACTCTGGACCTGATTCCTCTATTCCCATGTTGCGAATTTCCTCCTTGATAGATACCATCGGCTCATTTTAGATTTGGTTCCATAGTTGGTTAACTGAAGTTTTCAAGTTTGGTTTTTGGAAGAACAAAAATTATGCGTGATTGGCTTAGCATTGAAAGAAATGGTGTTTAACAAGACACTTTTTTTGACTACTTTATAAGTTATGGCAAATAGATCATAATGGAGATTTTCATCCCTCAGTTGCTCTTTGGAAATTGGAAAACAAATAGTTGTGAGGTCTCAAATGTTTGTTTGTCTGGTGTATAATTGCAATGTCGAGGCCCTTAATCGATGCATCTGTAAAGAATAATATGGGTAACATTAGAAATTATCAATAGTGGAGTATTCACTGTTTACTGGGTTATGGAATCAATAAAATGCATGAATTATGTTTGTGTCAAAACTGCTCTGAAGATATTGATTTTCATTACTTGCAGGATAATATTACGTTTCAAACATTTTTGACAAAACTAAAAAGGTGGAAAGTAGATGGCCGCGAAGTGTTCAATGGTGCATGATGATGTGTACGATCTGAAGAAGAGGGAGGATTTGGATAGTTGGACGATTGATCAATTGGATGATGCTTCAACACGCCTAGTACGCGTAGAGTTATTTCTCCGGAAACTTGAGGAGGTTCACCCTAAGAACACGATATCTGCACAACTAGGGGCCCTATTTGTAAAAGCTCATAAAGGCTTTTCTGAGATACCTCCTCACATAAAGGATCAACATCGAAGGCGTTACACCATCAGAACATTAATCTCAGATGTGCTTGGAAAATTTAAACTGGTTAACACAGCTGAGCCACTCAAAGCTTCAGAAGCGTCAAGATCAACTAGCCAAATAATTTCAGATGTGCTGGAAATAATTAAACTGGAGAATATTGCTAAGCGAATGGAAGCTTCAAAGCCATCAAGATCATCTTGCCGAATCTCTACGGAGATGGTGAGGTTTGTCAGAACTGTGCTTGATTGTACAGCGTCGTGCCTCTATCGTGTACACCATCGTGCCCCCGAGTCTGTGCTTAAAAAGAAGCTGCCATATCTACGTGTCTTCTTAACGTTAACTGCTGAGCGGTGCATTGAGCATGAAAGTATGAAGGATTTCTTCACCCATGTTGAGGATGTAGCTTACACTGCAGCAAACCTTTGTTTGTCAGAGTTTGATTCCAATAGGGATTCCAAGTTCTCTAAATTGCTGAAAAGGATAAGTCCCTTTAGGCCTAAAATAAAGCAGATTTATCTGAGTGTCTTGATAGGGTCAAAGTCATCAAGATCAGAGACTACAATGAATGCCAATTATATGTCTGATTTTCTTAAAGCTCTCCAAGAGGATCTGCAAGAGTTACTAAACCATGATGCCAGGTTGAAAATTGCCTTTGATGATCCAATTCCGTGGCTACAACAGGGACTTTCTTACCTTTCTGGATTTCTACTGAACATAGCATCAAAATGCACTCCACTCAAAGAACTCAATTCTCTTCAATCACATGTCGAAGCTCTGGCCATTGAGACAGCAATTCTGATCTACTCCTCCTATGATGAGGAGATGGATAAGACTACTGAAATAGACCATGTGCTTTTTCATTTGCAGCCTAAGTTTAACCATGTCAAGATAGAAGTCGATCTCATTCAGCTACTAAACTGTCAAGCCACCATAATAGCTCCTCTAAAAGATCTTACTGACTATGTATGGGGAGAACTGATATACTTGGGAACTTTTATCATGGATTCATTGGAGCAGTGCAAAGAGCATACTAAGATAGCTGATTTTGTGACCCTTATTCAATCTGTGACCAGCCAAGCATGTTCGGTCATTAATTCTCTTTTTCATTACTCAGAGCAAGAAGACTTGGCCAGGGAAATTAACTACTCGCATTTTCAATTGCTTCTTAAGTTCAAGTTTATTAAGGCAGCGATTGCACAGATGTGTTCCAACATTTCTGCATCATCAACACTGGACCACCCTACAATCGATCTGTGGAACTTTCTTCCTATTAACTTTGAGATCATTGATTCCTATTTCAACATGCTAAAATCCTCAAAGATATCATCCTCATATGTCCCCACAGTTGATGAGGTTTTTATGGGGTTTCATGAATATGTTTTTGGCAATCTACTCCTGAAGGATGAAACTTATTTGACAGTTACTGTTGGAAATGAGGTTAAAAAGTTTTTCTATGGGTTGTTGCTCCTAGTAACATATCTTTTTGATCCTCTAGCTCAGAGTATTGGATGCATGAAGCAGAATGATCTCTTGACAGGATTTGGAACTACTGTAATTGAGGCTGAATCCGCTATCTGTTTAAATTATCAAGATGTTGCGGATAGCATCAAAAGTGGAAAGGTCAATCTCGTTCTTCAGTTTTTGACTATTGCTTTCAAGCTTATTGAGTCTGAGGGAATTTTGACAGATATACTGAAGCACAAAGCCACTTTGAAAGCTCAAATTTTTGATCTGATTGAAAGTGCTCATGAAGAGCTTATTTCCGTTAGAGCTTTTCTCATGGATGTTTTTGCGCAACACACAAAGCTTAATGAATTGCATGATCTCTTAATGCGTGCTGAAGTGACTGCCCACAAGTTAGTGCAAATCAGTAGTTCTTGTTATGAAAGTTTCATGGACGGAAGAAGCATTGAGAAAATGAGGCTTTCGTTATCTGATTTGCAACAAGAGATTGAGTCTGTCAAAGTAGACTTCAGAATAATATGCTTTCAACTTATGGATGCATCACCTTGCAACATGACAGATGGAGAAGGCCTTATTAATTTCTTAGTAAGCCACCAGGACTGGCTGCTCAAGTGTGATGCTTGTTCAATCCCTTTTCTGAAGAATCAGATCCCAATAGTCATAGGCGAACTAGTATATTTGGGCTCTTTTCTTGCAGATATCATACAGTATCTCGATATGCATCAAGAGCTCAAAGACCTCGTGAAGCGTGTTCAAGATAGAAAGTATGTTTGTCTCTTCCCCATCAGGGATTATATCCCTGCTTGTTATTATATGTTATATCTCTCTGATATCAAGCAATTGCTCAAGTTTGTTGAGGCAGAGGTCAAAACTATTTGTCTAGAAGTTCCAGATTCTTCAAGTTATAGCTTTCCCACGACAAACGGATTAGGATTTCTAAGTTGTTTCTTAGACAAATTGGATGAGCTGTTAAATTCTAAACTGGATCCAATTATCGACTTAAAGCTTCACATTCGATTAGTCAAGAAGGGCTTATTGTGTCTGAGATCGTTGACTGATCATTTCACAGAAAGTAATGATGAGCATGATGAAGTTTATAGTCTTATAACAAGTGTTACTGAAGTGGCATACAAGGCAGAGTATGTCATTGACTCGTGCTTGACCTTTTCTCATCCACTTTGGTACAAAGTTCTTTTGATTTCTGAAGTTGTTGAGAATATTAAGCTTGTAAATAAAGAAGTTAGTGAGACTTGTGAAAGAGAGAAGAATGATGAGATAGTGCCCGAAGTTGCAAAGACCTCCACTAATATTTTGCCATCTTTATCTGCTAATACTTCAACAGCAAATAAAGAGATGGAGGGATTTCAGAATGCGATGAACGTATTAAAGAATCAGCTATTGGAAGGATCACCTCAGTTAGATGTTATCTCATTGGTTGGCGTGCCTGGCATCGGTAAGACTACTCTTGCCAAAAGGATTTACAATGATCCAATGGTCACCTCTCACTTTGATGTCCGTGCTCAATGTCGTGTGACTCAAGTATATTCATGGAGAGATTTGTTGCTTACCATTTTGAATGATGTGCTTGAGCCTGTTGATCGCGATGAAAAAGAAGATGGCAGATTAGCTGATGAGCTGCATCGATTCTTGTTGACCAAGAGATTCTTGGTTCTCATTGATGACGTGTGGGACAATGAAGTGTGGGACAATTTCCATATGTGCTTCAAAGATGCTCAGAATGGAAGTAGAATTATTCTAACTACCCAGCTGAATGACATTGCAATTTATGCTAAGTGTGAAAGTGAACCCCATCATCTCCGTTTATTTAGTGATGATGAGAGTTGGACATTATTACAGAAAGAGGTGTTTCAAGGGGAGAGCTGTCCACCTGAACTTGTTGATGTGGGGTTCCGAATAGCAAAATGTTGTGGAGGGTTGCCTCTCTTCATTGTATTAGTTGCTGGTGTTCTGAAAGAGAAAAAGAAGAAAGCAGAATTGTGGAAAGAAATAGAAGAAAGTCTAGGTTCGCAGAATATTGGTAGCTTGGAAGAGACCATGTCTATTATTGGCTTCAGTTACAAGAATTTACCGCACCATTTGAAACCTTGTTTTCTCTATTTTGGAGGCTTTTTGAAGGGCAAGGATATTCATGTCTCAAAACTGATTCGTATTTGGATAGCTGAGGGATTTGTGCAGGCAAATACGGGAAAAAGACCAGAAGATGCTGCACAAGGTTACTTAGAAGATCTTATTAGTAGAAATTTAGTGATGGACGTGGAGAAGAGACGCAATGGCAAGCTAAAGACATGCCGCATTCATGATCTGTTGCATAGATTCTGCTTAGAAAAGGCCAAAAAAGAGAATTTCTTTCTCCGTATTAATAGGTATAACTGTATAAGACCTGCACTAATTCTATTCTATTATTTAATCCTAACTCTATATTTTATTGCTTTTCTTTAATCAGATTCAGTGAAGAGGATATATTTCCCGAAAAGCCTAAGGAATATCGGTTGTTTGTTCATTCTTATGAGGATCAGATTGATTTGTGGCAGCCATCTCGCTCAAATGTTCGCTCGTTACTATTCAATGTGATTAATCCAGATAACTTTTTATGGCCGCGTGATATCTCCTTCATCTTTGACAACTTCAAACTTGTTAAAGTGTTGGATTTGGAATCGTTCAACATTGGCGGTACTTTTCCCAGTGCTATACAATCTTTAATTCATTTGAGGTACTTCGCTGCTCAAACTAGTGGAAACTCAATTCCTTCATCTATAGCTAAGCTTTGGAATCTTGAAACTTTTGTGGTTAAAGGATTGGGAGTGGAGGTGATATTACCTAGTTCACTTCTGAAGATGGTTAAATTGAGGCATATACATGTAAAGCATCGTGCTTCATTTAGTTTATATGAGAACATGGGTGAATCTCTTGCTAACTCTCAATTAGATAATTTGGAAACCTTTTCCACTCCACGTCTCTCTTATGGTGAAGATACAGAGATGATATTGAGAAAGATGCCAAAATTGAGAAAGCTGAGTTGCATATTTTCGGGAACATTTGGTTATTCAAAGATACTGAAGCGGAGGTCTGTTCTATTTCCCAGATTAGAGTTCCTAAACCATCTTGAATCCCTCAAGCTTATCTCTAACAGCTGTCCAGCTAAACTTCCCCATGTCTTCAGTTTCCCCTCAAGACTAAGGGAATTGACTTTGTCAAAGTTTCGTCTACCTTGGTACCAAATCTCGACCATTGCAGAACTGCCAAACTTGGAGATTTTAAAGTTACTTCTCAGAGCCTTTGAAGGGGATGAATGGGAGGTGAAAGATTCAGAGTTCCCTGAACTCAAATACTTAGAGTTGGATGACCTAAACATTGCACGATGGTCTGTCTCCGAGGATGTTTTTCCTATGCTTGAGCATTTGGTTTTAACGAAATGTAAAAAGCTCAAGGAAATCCCTTCTCATTTTGACAACGCTATATCTCTAAGAAGAATTGAAGTAAATTGGTGCAGCTGGCCCAATTCAGCACAGGAAATTCAAAGAACGCATCATGAAGACATGACAAATGATGCATTAACAATTGCAGTACACCCTCCAGATTGGACTAGAGGATCATCTCCTTGAGTCTTATCTGGTATGTCCTTTCCGTGTTCATCTGAGTACAATTCCACTCATTAGTTTTACTCTTACATTATAACAGTTATACTTATTTCAGTTACCTGCTCTTATTCAAAAGAAGAAAAAGAACAAGTTATCTGCTATATTCTTGAATGTCACGAGGCTGCTTACGAGGTGTTTTCCTGCTGTAGTCTCACAGATTATAGACAAAAACATAGCTGGTTATCTGTGGCAAGGGCTGGTAGTCTCTGTAGCACAGTGGACAAAAAATGAAAAGTTCCAGTGCCGAGAATGTAATCCAGCATATCCAAGCGAAGTTTTTGAACTGCATGATTACAGGCAACAGAGGACACATTCTGATCTTTCAGTCAACTGAACCGTGTGAAGAATCAGATCCAGGCACAGCAAAGTGCTTATGATTATAATCAACTGAACTGTTAGCTTGTTGGGCAAGAAGAGAACTCAAGAAAGAACAGAATAAGGTATGGAACACTATACTAGCATGCATTTTGTGGACACATTGGAAAGAAAGGAATAAATGATGTTTCAATTGTAAAGATCAAAACTGCCTGCATTTTTTTTTCTTGCTTTTCTCCTAGTGTAAATGATGCTGAACCGCTTCTAGATTTTGTTAGTCCTCTGCATAGCTAGAAGAGAACATACTTTTGCTTTTCGGATCACAACACCATCTTAGTGCTGCTTTACATCAATAAATTTGCACTTACCATTTCCAAAAAAAAATTATTCCAGTTCACTAAGCATGTTACAACTTACATGGTAGCTTCGCTAGCTAGTGAACGAAGCGAAGTCAACTATTCTGTTACACCAACTGTGTTTGCATAACGGTTCTGAGGAAAAAAGCACGACGGTCATCAGGCCACCATGATCTGATTTATTTTGATACAAGTACTCTCTGTAAGATATGTATATATAATGGCAAGAAAATCTGATCCCATTTGCCTCATACATTCAGTGTTTGTTTGACGTACGTTAGGCCTACATTTCATTGAATTTTTGTAACAAGTTTGTTTGAAGGGGAGCCTTAGCGTAACTGGTAAAGTTGCTGCCATGTGACCAGGAGGTCACGGGTTCGATCCGTGGAAACAGTCTATTGCAAAAATATAGGGTAAGACTGCGTACGATAGACCCTTGTGGTCCGGCCCTTCCCCGAACCCCGCGTATGGCGGGAGCTTAGTGCACTGGGATTTTTTTTTTTTGACAGAAGGTGGTTTTTATAACCATAATCAAATTTCAAAATACATGCTGCATTAGTAGTGACTTTGTAGGTAAGTTCACCAAAGAGGACAATTCACTTATCAGACCTTTATGATCATAATTTATTTTTGACTGTAGTTATCCCTAGCCTAACCAGTTATGTTACCTGTCAAATAAAAAGTCCAAAACTGATATCACAATTCACAATTGTGTTTCTGTTAAGTGTTTTAAAACTTTGCTATAAAACTGATAAATTTTCAGGTTTCTATTTTTATCATCTCAGCTATGTTGTAAACAACAACAACAACAATAACAACAACTCAGTATAATCCCACTTAGTGGGGTTTGTGGAGGGTAATGTACAACAATAACAACAACAACTCAGTATAATCCCACTTAGTGGGGTCTGTGGAGGGTAGTGTGTAGGCAGACCTTACCCCTACCCTGGGGTAGAGAGGCTGTTTCCAAATAAACCCTCAGCATCCTTCCCTCGGCATCCTTCCCACCTTGCTCTTGAGGAGACTCGAACTCGCAACCTCTTGGTTGGAAGTGGAGGTTGCTTACCATCAGAGCAACCCCTCTTGTCTCAGCTCTGTTGTAAACTAAAAATAAATTGCAACTAAGATGTTAAGTTAGGCTTGTTTCCCCACCTCTCGGGAAAGAAAGATGAGAATAAGTGTATCATATGGAAATGGTACAAATAAATCTTGTAAACAGGTCAGTTTGTTCAATTATCTTTAGGATTTATATAGACAAATCGATCAATTATCCAGACCCAGTTATCTTTCACTTAGTGCGGATGGTGGTGAAAGATCAAAACAATCTTTAATATTTTTTAAACTCTTTAACATAATCAATATTCATAATTTTAAAAAACATAAACTTTTTTTAAAAAAAAATTATAATTTACTACTCAAATATATTTTTTATACATATATATTCTACTTATGTACATAAACATATTGACAAGAGGGGTTGCTCTGATGGTAAGCAACCTCCACTTCCAACCATGAAGTTGTGAGTTCGAGTTTCCCCAAGAGCAAGGTGGGAAGTTTAATGGAGGGAAGGATGTCGAGTTTCTATTGGAAACAGCATCTCTACCCCAGGGCAGGGGTAAAATCTGCATACACACTACCCTTCCCAGACCCTACTAAGTGGGATTATGTTGTTGTTGTACATAAACATATGTACATATGTATCTAACAAGGTTTGTTACAAGTGACACCAATAGGGGCGGATCTATGTAGAAGGGTGGGGTGGATGCCTCGTTGAAATTTTGTATGTTTATGTACTTTTTTCTTTTTAATTCTCAAAAAAAGTGTTAAACCAATCGAAATTTCTACTATGTGTAATTCATTTAGATCCATAAAAGTGGTTAAACCAAAAAAAAAAAAAGATCCGTAAAGTAAGAAAAACAATGATTTATTAACTGTGCAGGAGAAAAAAATACTGCATGTAAACTGCAGTTTATTAGGTAGCTACCAATAACAATCATTTCAAATTTCCAATAGTTCAAAAAGATTCCAAAATAAAGAACAAACAGTAGCAACAACAATATAATAGGAAGAAATAGTATAATATCTAATATAAAGAACCAGGGATAAGAAAAATACAAAAAGAGTAAGAGACGACTACCTATCAACCTTCCATCCCAATTCTCGACCTTCACTGTTCTCTATTACGGGTCATGTCCTCCGTAAGTTGAAGCAATTACATATCCTGCCTAATCACCTTACCCCAATACTTCTTCAGCCTATTCCTGGCCTTCCTTAGATCCCCCATGGTCAACCTCTCACACCTCCTGATCGGGTCATTTATGGCTCTCCTCTTTACGTGGCCGAACCATCTCAACCTCGATTCCCACAGTTTATCCTCCACCGAGGCCACCAGAAAATTCACAAGATAGATAAAGGGTGTATCGACTCTGCAGACTTAGTGCAGCACTCATCAATCCTTGAACAAGTCTTAGCACTCAGATTCAATGATATAGCAGATAACCTGTTTTTTTTAAGAGCGGGTAACTGAAATAAGTATAATCGTAACAAATAAACATTTTCTGGTGTAAAAGGAAAATGAACGAGTGAAAATGTACTCAGATGAACACGGAGAGAACATACCAGATAAGAGTCAAGGAGACGACCCTCTAGTCCAATCTGGAGGGTGTATTGTAACTGTGAACGCATCATTTGACAAGTCTTCCTGCTGTGTTCTTTGAATTTCCATGGCTGAATTGGCAACAGACCAGCTGCACCAATTTACTTCAATTCTTCTTAGAGATATAGCGTAATCAAATTGAGAGGGGATTTCTTTAAGCTGCTTACATTTTTTCAAAACAAAATGTTCAAGCATAGGAAAAGCATCCTCGGAAACAGACCACTGTGTAATATTGAGGTCGTCCAATTCTAAGTATTTGAGTTCAGGGAACTCTGAATCTTTCACTTCCCATTCATCCCCTTCAAATGCTCTGAGAAATAACTTCAGGATCTCCAAGTTAGGCAGTTCTGCAATGGTCGAGATTTGGTTCCAAGGTAGACGAAACTTTGACAGAGTCAATTCCCTTAGTCTTGAGGGGAAACTGAAGACATGTGGAAGTTTAGCTGGACAACTGTTGGAAACAAGCTTGAGGGATTCAAGGTGACTTAGGAACTCCAATCTAGGAAAAAGAACACACTTTCCTGTTACTATCTTGGAATAACCAAATGTTCCCGAAAATATGCAACTCAGCTTTCTCAATTTTGGCATCTTTCTCAATATCATCTCTGTATCTTCACCATAAAAGAGATGTGGAGTGGAAAAGGTTTCCAGATTATCTAATTGTGAGTCAGCAAGTGATTCACCCATGTTCTCATATAAACTAAATGAAGCACGATCTTTTACATGTATATGCCTCAATTTAACCATCTTCAGAAGTGAACTAGGTAATATCACCTCTACTCCCAATCCTTTAACCACAAAAGTTTCAAGATTCCAAAGCTTAGATATAGATGAAGGAATTGAGTTTCCATCAGTTTGAGCAGCAAAGTACCTCAAATGAATTAAAGATTGTATCTCACTGGGAAAAGTACCACCAATGTTGAAGGATTCCAAATTCAACACTTTAACAAGTTTGAAGCTGTTAAAGATGAAGGAGATATCACGCGGCCATAAAAAGTTACCTGGGTCAATCACATTGAATAGTAAAGAGCGAACGTTTGAATGAGATGGCTGCCACAGATCAACCTGATCCTCATAAGAGTGAACAAACAACCGATATTCCTTAGGCTTTTCGGGAAATGTATCCTCTCCACTGAATCTGATTTAAAAAAAAAACAATGAAATTGCGAGTTAAGATAAAAACAATAGAATAGAATTAGTGCAGTTCTTATACAGTTATACCTATTAATACGGAGAAAGAAATTCTCTTGTTTGGCCTTTTCCAAGCAGAATTTATGCAACAGATCATGAATGCGACACATTTTCAGCTTGCCATTGGGTCTCTTCTCCACGTCCATCACTAAATTTCTACTAATAAGATCTTCCAAGAAACCTTGCGCAACATCTTCTGGACCTTCTTCCATATTTGCCTGTACAAACTCCTCAGCTACCCAAAACCTTGTCAATTTTGAGACATGAATATCCTTGCCCTTCAAAAAGCCTCCAAAATACAGAAAACAAGGTTTCAAATGGTGTGGTAAATTCTTGTAACTGAATCCAATCACAGACATGGTCTCTTCCAAGCTACCAATATTCTGTGAACCTAGACTTTCTTCTATTACTTTCCACAATTCTGCTTTCTTCCTTTTGTCTTTCAGAACACCAGCAACTAATACAATGAAGAGAGGCAACCCTCCACAACATTTTGCTATTCGAAACCCCACATCAACAAGTTCAGGTGGACAGCTCTCCTCTTGAAATACCTCTTTCTTTAATAATGTCCAGCTCTCATCATCACTGAATAGACGAAGATGATAGGGTTCACTTTCGCATTTAGCATAAATTGCAATGTTGCTCAGCCGGGTTGTTAGAATAACTCTACTCCTGTTACGAGCACCTTTGAAGCACATATGTAAATTGTCCCACACTTCATTGTCCCACACGTCATCAATGAGAACTAAGAATCTCTTGGTCAACAAGAATCGACGCAGCTCAACAGCTAATTCACCATCTTCTTTTTCATTACGATCAGCAGGTTCAAGCACACCATTCAAAATGGTTAGCAACAAATCTCTCCATGAATATACTTGAGTCACACGACACTGCGCACGTACATCAAAGTGGGAGGTGACTATTGGATCATTATAAATCTTCTCGGCAATAGTAGTCTTACCGATTCCAGGCATGCCGACCAATGAGATAACGTCTAGATGAGGTGATCCTTTCACTAGCTGATCCTTTAGTATGTTCTTCGCATCCTGAAATCCTTCCATTTCTTCATTTGCTCTTGGAGTATTAGTGGTTAAATCTGGCAACAGACTAGTGGAGATCTTTGCAACTTCCGGCACTGTCTCGTCAATCTTCTTTCTTTCACAAGTCTCACTAACAACATCATTTACAAGCTTAATATTCTGAACAACTTCAGAAATCCAAAGAACTTTGTACCAGAGTGGATGAGAACAAGTCAAGCACAAGTCAGTGACATACTCTGCCTTGTATGCCATTTCAGTAACACTAGTATAAACTTCATCATGCTCATAGTCGCTTTCTGCAAAATGATCGGTCAACGATCTTAGACACAATAAGCCCTCCTTGACTGATCCAATCTGAAGCTTTAGGTCGATAATTAAATTGTTCTTAGAACCTAACAGCTCCTCCAATTTGCCTAAGAAACAATTGAGAAATCCTAATCCATTTGTCCTGGGGAAGCTATAATTTGATGAATCTGGGACTTTGAGACAAATCATTTTGACCTCTGCCTCAACAAACTTGAGCAATTGCTTGACATCAGAGAGATATAACATGTAATACCAAGCAGGTCTATAATCACTGATGGGGAAGAGACAGACATACTTTCTATCTTGAACATGTTTCAGGAGCTCTTTGAGCTTGTGATCCATATCTCGATACTGTACAATATCTGCAAGAAAAGAGCCCAAATACACTAGTTTGTCTTTGACCAATGGGATCTGATTCTTCAGAAAGGGGATTGAACAAGCATCACAGTTGAGCAGCCCGTCCTGGTGGTTTAATAAGAAATTAATAAGGCTTTCTCCATCTTTCATTTTCCAAGGTGATGAATCCAGATGTTGAAAGCATACTTTTCTGAACTCTACCTTGACAGACTCGATCTCTTGAAGCAAATCGGATAACGAAAGCCTCATCCTCTCAGTGCTGCTTCCATCCATGAAACTTTCACAACAAGAACCACTGATTTGTGCTAACTTGTGGGCAGTCGCTTCAGCATGAAGTAAGAGACCATGCAATTCATTAAGCTCTGTATGTTGCGAGAGAACATCCATGAGAAAAGCTCTAAGGAAAACAAGGTCTTCATGAGCACTTCCAATCAGATCCAAAATTTCAGCTTTCAGAGTAGCTTTGTGCTTTCGTAGATCCATTAAACTTCCCTCAGACTCGATAAGCTTGAAAGCAATGGTCAAAAATTGAAGAACAAGATTGACCTTCCTACTTTTGTTGCTATCCACAGCATCCTCATAAATTAAGCAGATCGCAGATTCAGCCACAAGTACTATAGTTCCGAATCCTGTCAATAGATCATTCTGCTTCATGCATCCAATGCTCTGAACTAGAGGATCAAAAAGATACGTTACTAGGAGCAGCAACCCATGGAAAAACTTTTTAACCTCATTCGCAACAGTAAATGTCAAATAAGTTTCATCCTTCAGGAGTAGATTGCCAAGAATATATTCATGAAATCCCATCAAAAACTTATCAATCGTGGGCATATATGAGGATGATGTCTTTGAGGATTTTAGCATGCTGAAATAGGAATCAATGACCTCAAAGTTAATAGGAAGAAAGTTAAGCAGATTTATCGTAGGATGGTCCTGTGTTGATGATGCAGTAATGCTGGGACACATTTGTCTAATCGCTGCCTTAATAAACTTGAACTTAAGAAGCAATTGGAAATGCAAGGGACTAATTTTCATGGCCAAGTCTTCGTGGTCTGAGTCATGAGAAAAAGAATTAATGACTGACCATGCTTGGCTGGTCACAGATTGAATAAGAGTCAAAAGATCAGTTATCTTAGTATGCTCTTTGCACTGCTCCAATGAATCCATGAGAAAAATTCTCGATAATATTAGCTCTTCCCGAACATAGTCAATCAGTTCATATAGAGGAGCTAATATGGCTTCACCGTTTAGCTTCTGAATCAGATGGATTTCTAGCTTGACATGATTGAACTTCAGTTGGAAAAAAAAAGATGCATGGTCCATTTCAGTAGTCTTCATGTCCATTTCCTCATCATAGCAGGAGGAGTAGATCACTGTTGCTGCCTCAATGGCCAGAGCTTCAATATGTGATTGAAGAGAATTGAATTCTTCGAGTGGAATGCATTCTGATACTATGCTGTGGAGAAATCCAGAAAGGGAAGAAAGTCCTTGTTGGAGGCACGGAATTTGATCAACAAAGATAAATTTCAAGCTGGCATTGCGGCTTAGCAGCTCCTCCAGATCCTCTTGGAGACCATTAACAAAATCAGACATACTTTCAGCGTTCATTGTATTCTCTGATCGCGATGACTTTGACCCTATCAAGACTCTCAGATAAAGCTGCCTCAGTTCAGGCCTAAAAGGACTTAACCTTTCCAGCAATTTAGAGAATTCAAAATCTAACACACGTGCCCGATCACCATCTTCCACATTGTAGGCTAGCCCTAAGAAATATAGGTGCGCTGCAGTGTAAGCTACATCCTCAACATGGATGAAGAGATTCGTCGTACTCTCATGCTCAATGCACAGCTTTGCAATTGAAGATAATAAGACACGTAAATATCTCAGCTTCTTGTCAAGCACAGACGGGAAAAGGTCACGATACTGTAGATAATCAAGCAAAGTATCGGCAAAATCCAACATCTTCCTAGTGATCATTGGGATAGATGCTCTTGATGGATTTGAAGCTTTGATTTGCTCAGCAATATTCTCCAGCTTGATTATTTCCAGCACCTCCGCAATCATTTGGCTAGTGGATCTTGACGCCTCTGAAGCTTTAGTTATTTTCAGCAGCTTTGAGATCATGGTGTAACACCTCCCGTGTTGATCCTTGTCAGGAAATCCTTCAAGAGCTTTTACAAATAGTGCCTCTAGTTGTGCAGATATTGAGTTCTCAGGATGAACCCTCTCCAGTTGCCTGAGAAATGAAGCTACACTTAGTAGGCGCTTTGAAGCATTGTTCAATTGACTAATCATCTCACTATCTAAATCCTCCGTCATCTTCAGATTGTACAAGTCAAAAGACACCTTGGAACACTTCTGAGCCATCTACTTAATTTCAGTTGTTGATTCCTAATTTTATCCTGCAAGTAATGAAAATCAACATCTTCAGAGCAGTTTTGACACGAACATAGTTCATGCATTTTACTGATTCCATAGCAAGCTAAACAGTGAACACTATACTATTTACAGTTTCTACTTTTACTCATATTATTCTTTAACGAGCGCATCATTAAGGGCCAGTTAGACGTTGCAAGTATACACCATTAAACAAACATGTGATACCTTCATAGTTATTTGTTTTCCAAAGAGAAAATGAGGGATGAAAATCTCCATTATAATCTATTTGCCTCAATTGCATGTGGCTGCTAAAATACTCAAAAAAGCATGGGGGAACAAGCCTACAGTAATATATGTATATGCTATGATCAGTGGCGGATGTATGATTTTATACAAGGGGATTAAAAAATGTCACACTTGAGATTCGAACCGATTACCTAAAGCAATTTATAAATCCAATCTGCCGCTTTACTAGATTTTCCCTCATTTTAAGGGGAACCTTGGAGCAATAGTAAAGTTGTCTCCATGTAACCTGTAGGCCACGGAGTCGAGCCGTGGAATCAGTCACTGATACTTGCATCAGAGTAAGCTGCCTACATGTAACGACCCGGCCGGTCGTCATGAGTTACCGCTCCGTTTCCCCCATTTCTGCTTCTTATTGTCTTGTTCAGCTGTATTATGTGATATTGGGTTAGTTGATTCGGATTCGGAGAGGTTTTGGAAAGGAATGAGACTAGTCTCTTTTGAGTAAGCTTAGGTTGGAAAAGTCAATCGGATGTTGACTTATGTGAAAAAGGGCTCGGATGTGAATTCCGATGGTTCGGATAGCTTCGGGAGGTGATTTGGGATTTAGGAACGTGATCGGAATGTGTTTTGGAGGTCCAGAGTAGATTTAGGCTTGAATTGGCGAAATTGTAATTTTGGCGTTTTCCGGTTGATAATGGAGATTTTGATACAGGGGTCTGAATGGAATTCCGGAAGTTGGAGTAGGTCCGTTATGTCATTTGTGACGTGTGTGCAAAATTTCAGGTCATTCGGACGAGGTTTGATAGACTTTTTGATCGAAAGCGGAATTTGGAAATTTTTGGAATTCTTAGGCTTGAATCCGATGTTAATTTGATGTTTTGATGTTGTGTTGAGCGTTCCGAAGGTTGAAACAAGTTTGAATGATGTTATGGGGTATGTTGGCATGTTTGGTTGAGGTCCCGAGGGCCTCGGGTGAGTTCCGGATGCTCAACGGATCAATTTTTGGACTTTGGACTTGCCAGATTTTCTGGTGTTGTTGCAGAAAATTCTTGTTCATCGTGTTCGCGGTGGGGTCCCGCGTTCGCGAAGAGTAAATGGGGAAGCTGAGGAATTTGTTCTATGTGTTCGCGAGGTAGAGGATGCGAACACGGAGGTTGAGTAAAGTGTTCTATGCGTTCACGCTCAATGGGCCGCGTTCGCGAAGGGCATTTTTGGAGGCAGGCGAGATTAGCCTACGCGAATGCGAGAGGACTGCCGAGTTCGCGTAGAAGGAATAACTGGGCAGTCAGATTATATTTAAAAATCGAGGGTTTAAGTCCAATATCGCAAAAACCATTAGAGAGCTCGGGAGAAGGTGAAATTTGAGGAGATTTTTAGTGGAGTAATTGGGGTAAGTATTCTTCACTTATATTTGGTTTAATTACATGATTTAGTCTTGAATTTCATCAATTAATTTGAGGAATTAGAGTGAAAATTGAGGAAAAATGGAAGAAAAGTTTGAGAGTTCTTTTGGGGATTTGAATGGGCAATTGAGGTCGGATTTTGATGAATTTGTTATGGGTAGACTCGTGGGAGGATAAGGATTCCGTTGATGTGACTTTTATCGAATTTCGAGACATGGGCCCGGGGGTCGGGTTGGACCAATTTCGGGATTTTTTGGTATAATTTGATTATTTTCGCATGGGCTTCGTTCTCTTAGCATATATTGATGCTGTAATTCTGATTTTGGATAGATTCTACGCGACTTGAGGACGAGGCGAGAGGCAAGGGCGTCATAGAGTAGTATTTCATCCGGTTTGAGGTAAGTAACCATTGTAAATCTGGACCTGAGGGCATGAAACCCCGGTATTTTATATTCTTTTGATAAATGAGGTGACGCACATGCTAGGTGACGAGCGGGTGGGCGTGCAACGGTAGGGATTGTGACTTGGTCCGTCCCGTAGCGACTATTAAGCTGCGTATTTGATTTGAAATCTTAGGATATCCCATATTTCAGAGATTGATACTATATGTTGGGTTGTACGCCATGTTTGGGGCCTTGTGCCGACCTGTTTAGACCATTAGGGATAATTTTACTACTTTCCTCACTCTATTTGTTTTGAAAGCATATCCCCAGTCATGTTTTACCTGTTTATTGTTTAAATCCGGTTTCATCACTCTACTTCTTAATATATGAAATTGTTTGGACTGAGTTCCCTGATTTCCACTAATATGCCCGAGTGGCTGTGAGGTTAATGACTGAGAGAGGTTAAGGACCTAATGGTGAGGATTATATATTTATTATGGATCAGGCTGCACGTCGTAGCGATATACATATGGATCGGGTTGCACGCCGCAACGATATATATATTGGATGGGGCTGCGCGCCACAGCGATATGACGTTTGGGTTGTAGGAGCCCCTCCGGAGTCTGTACACCCCCAGTGAGCGTAGTCGACTATAAACTATGGATCGGGCTACATGCCGCATCGGTTGTTATGATTATTATTAGTATGAGATATTATTGAGCCGGAGTGCTGAGTGTGAGTACTGTTTGACGAGAGCTGAGTCACGAGTAACTGAGAGGCTTGCCCGAGAGGCTATATTTATGAGTGATACCTGGCCCGAAGGGTTTGTTTATGACTTTTGCTGTTTTCACTCTTCTTTTATACTGAGCCTCTGTTGAAAAATGTTGAATAAATGATTTCAAAGCATTTTAATTGAAACTGAAGTTTTACGAGATAACTGATTATGGCACGGTTGGTTTTGACTTGATATTTCTGTTGAAAACTCTTATATGGTTTTAAATTGCTCGTCACTGCACTCAGACCTTATTTACTTTAGTTACTTACTGATTACTCCCTGCACTTTGTGTGCAGATCCAAGTGCCCGAGCAGCAGAGTGAGAGCTTCCAGCACTCTCAGAGCTTTACCGGAGACTGCAAGGTAGCTGCACGGCGTTCGCAGCCCTGCTTTCCTCCTTCCTATCTTAGTATTCTGCTATTTCAGACTTATGATGTATTATTCAGTCAGTTTGAGTTGTATTTAGAGGCCTAGTGACACCGGATTGTTGGGCTGTGTTGGTATTATGTACTGGTTTTTCTGCATATTCTGTTTTACTCATCTATTTCATATGACGAATTTGAGACTTATTCGATACTAGAAAATAATTTTTATAAAAGATTTCGTTATGGTAAATATTTGGTTGGCTTGCCTAGTACTGTGATAGGCGCCATCACGATTGTGGTATTTGGGGTTGTGACAAGTTGGTATTAGAGCCTAGGTTACATAGGTCTCACGAGTCATGAGCCGGTTTAGTAGAGTCTCGCGGATCGGTACAGAGACGTTTATATTTATCCTCGGGAGACTGCAGAACCTTTAGGAAAACTTCACATTCTTGAATTCATGTCGTGCGAATCTGTTGATTCTAGCACTAAACTTCTGTTATTCTATTCTCTCACAGATGGTGAGGACACGTGCTACCGGTCAGGACGGACGACCACCAGTACCACCAGTTGGGGCCATTAGAGTCCGAGGACGCGATTGAGGCCGTGGTAGGGGCAGGCGTTTAGCCCGTACAACAGCTAGGGCAGCACCTGCAGATCCACCAGCCACCCCAGTTCAGGATCAGGTCCCAGTTGCGGACGCTCCAGCAGCACCAGCTCAGGCACCGGTTGTGCCTATTGTGATTCCAAGTCTTCAGAAGGCTTTAGCTCAGATTCTATCAGTATGTACTGGCCTGGCTCAGGCGGTCTCAGTTACTACGACCGCAGCTACTTCTCAGGTCGGGGGAGGTACTCAGACTCCCGTTGCTCGCACACCTGAGCAGGTTGTGCAGGGACTTCAGACACCGGGGGCACCTCTAGCCCAGCCGGTTGCACCAGCTCAGGAGTATGTGGTACCAGTTAGGAAAATATGTATATGCTATGATCAGTGGCGGAGGCATGATTTTATATAAGGAGATTAAAAAATGTTACACTTGAGATTTGAACCAATTACCTGAAGCAATTTATGAATCCAATCTGCTGCTCTACTAGATTTTCCCTCATTCGAATGGGAGCCTTGGAGCAAAGATAAAGTTGTCTCCATGTAATGAGCCTCTGATGCTTGCATCAAAGTAAGTTGCCTACATCACATCCTTTTAGGGTGCGGCCCTTCTCGGGACCCTGAGTGAACGCATAATACTTTGTGCACTGGACTGCTATTTAGGAATTCATTTGAACCCCGTTTCTCCAAGGTGGACTTAGGCTTCATTTGTTTTTTTGAAGATTAAGGGGGTGTTTGGCAAAGCTTATAAGCTGATCAAACTGACTTATAAGCACTTTTTGGTTTATCTACACGTTTGGTAAACACCCAAAGTGCTTATAAGCTAAAAACAATCATAAGTCATAAGTTGGTCACCCCCAACTTATGACTTTTCAGTTTATAAGCACTTTTAGTTTGACCAAGACTTTTATTAGTTTATCCTTAATAATATTTTTCCCAAAATAAATTTCCTAACTTTCTCTTCATTCCATATTCGTTGTTCATCCTTTTCATTACAAAGAAACTTTTAAATTCATAATCTTTTGTAAAGTTATTAAGGATATTTTAGTCATTTAAATAAAAGAACAGCTTATCAGCACCTTTCTGCCAAACACATTAACTGCTTATTATCAGTTTCAGCACGTCCAAACACTTAAATACTTATTTAAAAAATCAGTTTCAGCACTTAAAAATGCTTTTCAACACTTCAAGCTTATCAGTTATTTACAATCAGCTAATCCAAACGTGCTCTAAGACGTCTGAATCTCAATACACATATGAATGTCAAGATGTGTATTAAGATTAAGATATCTAAATCTAAATACACATCTGAATTAAGATGTGTATTAAGATCTGAATATTAAATGATTAAAACTATTTGATTTTTAACATCTGAATATATAAATTTATCTTTATTTGAAAATTAATAAACATAAAATTCAAATGAAATACTAATTAATCTAATATTCTATCAATGCAATATATAATTTTTTTTAAATATGGTAGTTGCTGGTGGCGATGGCTAACGGTGGTGTTTATGAATTCCAACTAGAGGCGGTGGTTGGTGGTAGTTTTGGTTGATGGTGGTGGTTCACGGTAGTAGCTAGTGGTGATTAGTAGTGACGACGATTATAATTGAGGATGGTGGTGATGGGTGGTGGTGATAGTTGTGATTGAGGAAGGTGGTAGTGGGTGATGGTAGTTTATAATGAAGGGCAGTGCCGACTATGCTTGTTGATAGCTAAGTTGCTCGGACTCGGATGTGATTATCCGATACGGGGACGGATCTGAGTACCGGATTCAGCAAAATCTAAATTTTAAGATTCGGGGGTGCGAATCCGGATATGGATACGGATGCGGGAATTCGGCTAATAAAAAATAGAGCTATAAAAATATTGTAAATTTTGAGAGATATTCTGTGAAAAACTTAGATGAATATTGTAGAATTCAATCTTTCATTCTCCGAGATGGACATTATTCTTTCATTCTCCTTAATCTGTTTTAATTTTGATTTTGAGAAAACAAAATCTCAATTTTTCTCCCAAATTTGTCGAAGGACTCCGGTCAAAGTATCCGAAGTCAGTTGACCGTATCCGGGACGTATCCCGCTCTCGCTCCCATCCCCGTCCCAGGACAGCGACGACACCAAAATCGAAGAGTCCGTGCAACTTAGGTTGATGGTGATGTGATGGTTAGTTGTGATAGCTGAGGTGGATGAATGTTGGTTGTGTTAGAGAATGATGATGCTAGGAGTGGTGGGGATGGTAGGTGGTGGTAGTCGATAACGGTAGCGGCTATGATTGAGGGTAATGGTGGTGGTGATAGCGGTTGAGTATGGTGGTGGTGGCGGCGGCGGTGGTATAGTGGTAGTTGATAATGGTAGGTGGTTACGGCAGTTAATAATGAATATGGATGATAACTTTTTAATGAAATTAAGTCTTTGTTGAAGATCTTAATCATCCAGGCATATTCAAACCCATTAAGTGGTTGTGAAGTAAAAAAAGTAAACACTTAATGATTAAGATATGCATAATTAAGACTCACTTTAAAAACAAACGCAAATTTAGACCTCTCAATTAAGTGCAAACAAATGAGGCCTTAAAATCTGTACATTGAGCTATAATTGACGCCTAAATTGATTAATTCTTGACAAAGGTATGATCCAATTGACATTTGCTACGGTTGAAAGCATGATTTTTCAACTAATGGGAACAAGCTTTTTCAACTAATCACTTTGCAGTTGGCACACCCAAATCTATAGCTGTAATTTGTATTACATTGAAGAATTAACTAGCTAATTTTCCCTTTATCAGCAAAAGAAAAAAGAAACTGCATTAATTAATGTACAGTAACTTACTTTGATTCGGTAGAAAACTTAAGCCCAGTATCGATCTTTGTTAAAAAGCTAACATTTGATATTATGTGCCATTACAATAATTGTAAGCAAATGCACTATGGGAACTTACTTTGTCCAAAGCTGGAAATAAATATAACTTCGAACCCAAACGCCAAACACCTTTGTACAGTAACTGAAAGCCAAATGCACAGTAAACAGAAACCTGGAGTCTGCAACTAAAGCAAAAGGATGGAGGATAAAAAGCTAACCTTTGGTATTCAGTTTGCTATTTTTTTTTTTAGGTTGGGAATGTGGGGAAAGGGGTCGTACTGAACTATTTAATGCACATTAAAATCATTGAGAGAAAGGAGCCCAGTTTACGATAAAAGTAAGGAAGACTTGAGCAATGGTCGTCTGTCGACAAATCGAGATCTGCGCTGCCTGATTTCTTGTACATATATTGAATGGTTTTGTTCACTTTTTTCTTGCATTCCTTTTCCATTTCATGTTGGTGAAAGATGATAAAGTCACCCGCCGACCCAAAATTTGAAGGTTGGGGTCAACCAAAATTTATTTTGTACAGTGGTCCGGGTGCCTATTATTAATATATTACTATTTTCTAAAGATATATACATATATACATGAAATATTTATCGAATTTTACAGGCGTCGGTAACCCCTCTCGATATAGCATTATTTGACCAAAAGATATTGAAACTTTTTTTATTAAATCAATTAATGAGGACGAAGAGGTAAATCTTAGTCAAACATAAAAAACTCCAGATCTATAAACGAATCAGAAAATGATGTATAAGATGAAATAGGCGTGATCAATCTTATTGAGATTTTTCGTTTCTTCTCCCATTGATTGATGGAGATGATTGTTGTATATTATCAATGAAAAAAATCTTTTCCCTTCTTTTCATGAAAAGGATTACAGAGGAGAGGAAAACGAGAAAAAGCCCACCCCTCCCCCCACCCCTTCTAGGAAGATTCCCTCTCTATATATAGTCATGGAGTCTTTGCTATGTTTTGGGCCAAAGCGCCTTCATACCACGCCTGTTTTCGTCATTCCCTGAGTATTGTTCTTCAATTTAGTAGACACTGTGAGTACGGGGTTTGGAGCAAGTCACAGCGACTTTCCTTACCCCGCCGTTTGGTCGGGGTCCTGTTTGGGTCGACCACAGCGGTCAAATTTTGACCAATACAGTTAGTCCCTCCGTCTGTCAGGGTCGTCTCTAGTCGGGCCTAGTAGACGGATTATGATGATCGCTTATCTAAGAGAAATCTGACTATACCTCTTAGGTATGATTTTCAGATTCAAGTAGCATAATGGCACCCTATCGATATCTTTGAATCGTTGCGGTCGTTTCAAAATCGAAACATCATTTAACTTGAAATGTTGTTCGTGGTTGCCGCCATTATGACACACGTTCCTAGGGGATTGAACCGTTTTATGCCCCATCAGCTTCGATTGGCAATTCTTGGGTTTCGTGCTTGGGAAATTTATGTCTCTTATAAATAGGAGGAATACACCATTCGATTGACATACTTCCTTGCCTTCACTTGAAAGAACTTTGCGAATTTTCTTTTTTCCGGTTAGCCAGAAACTTCCGTTTCTCCTTTTCTTTATTCCTTTGCTTTACCAAATTGATACAAATGGCTCGTGATTCTTCTCACACTGAACTTCCTGCCACAACTCCGGTGCCGGAAAGTGATGTTTTTGCCATTGGAGGAGTAGAAGTGGCAGAAGATGAGGAGGTCCCGTTGGTGGTTGAGATCTTGCCTCGCCCTGGGAAAGCATGGAACGATTTCCACAATCCTACCGAGGAGGAATCGGAGCCTGCTTCCTCCGTTATAACTGAGGAAGGGATGTAGAATTGAAGACTAGGTCGGGAATTCCTCACTACGTCGAAATACTGTCGGCGGTGGGGAACGACATAGTCCATTTTGACTATCCAGGGTATTGCGCATTCTACGCCTACCTTTTTATTGTTGGGTACACCTTCCTTTCCCTCTCTTGGTGGTGGATTTTTGCTGCTTTTATGAGGTGTGCCCGGCTCAGCTTACGCCGTATCTGTACAAATTGTTCCTCATGCTGCTCAGGTTTGCGGAGCTCGCCGGTCATGAGATCACTTTGGGGCACATGCTCAATATATTCTCCCCTCAACTCATTCGTGGCATGATGATTCACATGCGCCACCGCGGTGAAGATGGACGACAGAGCCAATCGTCGCTTCTATGAGAATTACTTTTATGTGCGGACCGAGCACCTTGTGGCGGATCCTAAGGGGTTCCTTGAGAAATGGAACTTCGCACGTAAATTCCTATACTTTTGGCCGGAATGATACCCGACTGCTTTCCTTTAGGTAGTACTAAACTATTTGTTTTTACAGCTGCAAAGCTGCCTCCTACACCTATTGATGGTATCCACAAGTGGGTGAACGCCATCATTACTCACACGACGGAGGTCCGCATATGGTTGTCCTTCTATGAGAAATATGGACGCAAGCCCCTCAATGGTGAGTAATATCATTTTCGTTCGCGATTCTTCCCGGTCACACCTCCTTTTTCTACCTACACCCGCAAGGGCGTAAAGGAGTTTTTCCATTTAAAGGACAATCGGAGCGGGATTTAATTATTAATTATTCAGAGTCGCTACTTGGGAGATTAATGGTGTCCCAAGTCACCGGTTGAATCCCGAACCGAGGAAATTTATGACTCTGTTAACAGTCCGCGAACCAGAAATCCGAGTAAGGAATTCTTTTAATTCCGGCTAGCTTATGTGCCTTTTATTCGTAAACCGCTTTTATTATAATTATTATTTAAAAAAAACGAAATTGCAACGTCGTGAAAACGTGTCCTGAACCACGTCACAATCAATGTACCCGTGGTCGTTGACACATTTCGACTCCGTTGAGATTTGAATTTGGGTCGCATCAATGCGCACCCGAATTTAAGAAAAGTGTTTCAATTAAATCGTGCTTAAGGATTCTAACGTATTGTTATTTTTGGGGAAGGTGGTGGAATATACTAAACAACCTTTCCAAATCTAAACAGTGAAATAATTCTGCTGTTATCTACTTAATTTGTCTCTAAGGATCCTAATTGATTAAGGCCAATACTTTGTCAAATCCGAATTTGAATATCTAGGAAAGAATGCAGAGAAAATGGGTCTTGAGCCCATAAAGCCCAAATCATGTAATTGCACATGCTGTGGGCGCACACTCCTATAGCTCCAAGCATTGGGCCTAACGCAGGCCAAAATTTCAACTCAATGACAGGCATTTGTACAGCCCAGGAATCGAGCCCTTGGGGCACCTTTTGATTTAACTAATTGCTTAAGTTTTTAATGCACCTAGGCCCCAATTTAATTTATCACCTAACCAAAACAGATCTAGGCTACCTATTAATACGCCAGGCCCAAATAAAAAAAACTGGCTCAATACGAAGCTATTGAATATACAATTCAGATTAAAACCAAAATTGAAAGCAATCACGTGTATTGAACTCAAAATCAATTATAACTTTGCAAATTTAACCTCAGCAGACTGCGGAGATTAAACAAAATTAAAAACTACAATTACATAAACATGGAATGCACAGTCTGAACAGTTTAGACATGGTCTGAATTAATAAGACTCAATCCCAACGAATCAAATACATATAGTCATTTATCAATCAACTGATTACATCTATATGCATCCAACGAACACAGATTGACCAAAGTGATTGCATTTCATCCCAAATTGTGATTACATCAAGGGGATTTTGAAATTGTACCTAAAAATTGGAATGTAAATAGAGAAGAGGAGATTAGCAGCAGTAACAGTTCAGCAGCTCAGAAACTAAGGTAATAACCCAGTCACAGTCAGTGAAGGAGCATTTCAGCCCACCTAGATTCAATCAATTTAGCAGAAATGAGTTGAAATGCTGGGCAAACTCAATGAATCAACCCAAAACACATTCAGACATACCAACCATTTAAAATCCTAGATAAATGATTCCCAGTTTTACTTGTTTGATTTTCAAAACCACTCAAAATTAAATCAGGAAAAGTGTTGTGACTCAACTAATGGAACTTCAGATCTGGAGACTGCAGAATATGTTTGGTGGAATTTTTAGGCTAAAAAAGATTCTCCCCTCCTCAAGGCACTTTATGCCCTTTTATAAATGATCCCCAAAAGGGTTAATCAGATTTTGGGTTTTCTTTTTGGTCCCTCCCCTATTTGCAGTTTAGTCTTTTTATTTCTAACTTGTTACTCAAGTAAGCACCTCTATTGTGCTGAAATGTGCACTAATATCCTATTTTAGAAGGCCCTAGGGTATTCTTTTACCCATGCAATACCTATACTGCCCTTTCATTACTTTGCAATTACTATTCCTATCAGAATTACCATTTTTCATGCCCAAATTACCCCCTGAAAGCCTCTCAAAGTTACTGATTCTACCCACATTCTCAACAACTATAACCAATCCCCTAAATTGATCCAAAACTAACTAAAACTAATTAATTAGGACTTAGAAATTAACTAATCAAGCTAACCAATCTCAATTGTTCAATCACTCCAACTCAATCAAACTAGTAAAAACCAGAGGCCAAGGTCAATCAAAGCAAAGCTTAAGCTACTGATCAACATTAAATGAAATTAAACTAATTCTTAACCAATAAGCTCACAACCGACCATTCAAACATCAAACTCAGAACTAACAGAAATTGACAGAACTATACTAATACACAAAAATAAATTGTAAAATTAACAGAACAATTAATGAAATCAAGACTGTAACTAAACTTCAACCATGCAAGTAAAAGAAACAGGAAAACTCATGGAAGCACGAGAAACTCCGGCCAGTCACTGACGTCCGAATCCTTTCAGATTTTTGACACGCAACATCCCTAACCATGTGTTCTTACAAGAGAACACATGGTTAAGGATATTACGGTTCGAAATCATAACGATTTTGGTTTAGGATTTTGGCCAGAAATTCTTAGATCTGAAATTCGAGCCGCTTCACAGAGATTTGAAGGAAAATAATCATGGATTAGGGTTGAGGGAAGACTGGGGATTGTGTGGTGTGATTTTGGGCTGGTTTGGATAAACCTGCGATCTGACCGAAAACTTCAATCGAAGATTCGACGAGCTGTGGCAACATTCGAGAAAAACTAATAACAGGAGTGGAAAGAGGGATTCATGGGGGATCTATGGTGTTAATCTGGGTTTGAACGGTGTAAGTGGCGTTCACCGCCGGCGAGGGATTTAGGGGCGGCGCGGATTAGGGTTTGAGAGGATAGGTGGGGTGAGGAAGACGAGGGACTGGGGGGGCTCTCCGAC